TTGTAGTCAGTCTCTTTTTAAAACAGTAAAAGTTCCTCACCAGCTGGAAACACTTTCTCTTTCCGTATCCTTCCGTTTTGGAGCCACCTGACTTTGTCAGCTTGGCTGGATTTTTTGTCGCTGGCTTGAAGAACTTCTCTTGCTTCTTTCAGGCATTTTGCGAGATCTCTGCGGTCAGCAAGACGTATTCTTCCTGTTTACCGTCTCTTCGGGACGGTTTAGATCCGATTGGACCACCTAGCAGCAAAAGTATTGGTTGCGGTCTCAGAGCATCGAGACCGCATATCCATCTCATCGCGACGTTGGCTCCACCCCGATATACTCTTTTTTGTTTATGTATTAATTAAATTTCAAATCCTCATTGACAGTTCATTTTGACACTTACATGCTGAGGATCCCATTACAGATATATCAAGTACTCTAAAGTGGTATTTGTTGAACTACTGCTAAACCAAGTTTCAGTTTTCTGACTGATCTGAAAGTCTCTTAATAATTTAGGAGTGCATTTCTTACAAATTTGGTAATATTCTAAACAGCATAGAAACAGTAAGTGGAGACTCCACTAATTGTATACATTTTCTGAAATGAGTTTTGACATTAAACATGTACTTGCTTTTAATTGTTTCCATGATCAATAACAGACATTTATGGCAAAAAAGAGGAAATCAACCAGAGACGAAAACCAGCATATTACCTTGTTCTTAGTCTTCTCCTTCAACAGTCATCATGAATTAAGCTATCTCAACAGAGTCTATTTAGCCCTAGTTAACCAGCCTGTCCACTCATTAAGGAGATAAAACAGGAAATTAAAACAGGAGGTGTCTGAGATATTATGTAAACCAGTGGTCCCCGATCTTTTGGGGACAAGGGAATGGTTTCATGGAAGACAATTTTTGTTTGGATCAGGGGGAGAGGGAATGGTTTTGGTTTCACTCACTTGCCTGCCACTGACATCTAGTATGTGACCCGGTCCCTAATAGGCAGTGGACCAGGACTAATCTGTGGCCAGGGATTGGGGACCCCTGATGTAATCGTAATTGTTCTGATTCTCTTTCACTTTTTCACTGTGATGCATAACAGGCTCAAAATAGTGTTCCTAACTAAAAAAACTATGAAACTACAGTGACAGTATCTCAAAATGGACAATATCTACCAGCAATACATTTCTATAAGCTGTTGGATGTTGCTTTGTCCAAGATTGCCCCTGAGAATGGTCCAAACTCCTATGGCTTATAAAGTAATGTTACTGATTTATTTGTCTGACATCCTGGGACTTGAAATGGCTGTAGCAGTATTGAAGTTATGTGGATTCCAGTGCTGTCCTTAATTATTAAGTATTAAATTGTGAATGGCAGAAAATTGGAGAGATGGGGAAGAAACTAAAGAACTACAGTAAACTAAGGAAAACATCCATTGTGCTCCCGGATGAACACTGCCACATTGTATTTGTAATACAAATTTCAACAGTCTTGAAGTTTTCAGTAACATCCAGACTTTAAACTGCCATAAACAAACAATTTTTCCTTTGATTCGTTTTACATTGGACAGCTTATACACATCATTCTGAAACATTTTCTTACTAGATATTGTGCAGCTATATGATACATCACTTGGATTTTTTGTAAAAAAAAACCAATGTTTTACTATGGAATGAAATAAACATTAACTATAAAACTCTACATAGGGATGTGGTGGCTCAGTGGCTAAGATGCTGAGCTTGTTGATCAGAAAGGTCGACAGTTGCTGTGTAATGGAATGAGCTCCATTACTTGCCCCAGCTTCTGCCAACCTAGCAATTCGAAACCATGTAAAAATGCAAGTAGAAAAAATAAGAACCATCTTTGGTGGGAAGTTAACAGTCTTCTTCAGCATTTACCGTAGTCATGCCGGCCACATGACCACGGAGATGTCTTCGGACAGCGCTGGCTCTTTGGCTTTGAAACAGAGCTGAGCACCACCCCAGAGTCAGAAATGACTAGCACATATGTGCGAGGGAAACCTTTATCTTTACATTTACTTATAAAACTATACAGCAATTCTACAAGCTTGAAACAATTTAAACCTGATGATACTTAACAGATCAAAAATACTGTTTGAGGCGGTGATAGTGGGGGGAGGAAGAATTACCAAATGAAACTAAACCAAGATAATGCTGTATCATTTTGAAAGTTGATTAAAGTTCTGAAAAAATGGTCCATGTCAAATTCCAAAGGAACAAGAAAGAAGATAAGAGAACATTTCATCAAGACAGTAGAAGATAAGAGAACATTTCATCAAGACAGTATATTTACACCATCTGGAAGCATGTGGAGAATTATATGAAATTCAGGAAAATTGCATGTAAATCCAGTTTACAATTAAACAAGAGAGACCTCTGAGGCCTGTAACATTTAATTCTTAATGTCCATTAAGCAACATTCAAGATAACTCCTATATTTTGCAATACAGTTAACTGTTAATATCCATTCAGCAGCATTCAAAATATTCCCTATATTTTGCAATACCTTTGTCACTTCCATAGTAGTAGAAGGTTGTTTTACTCAAAGCACACCAACGTTTTTGCCACTCAAAGCCAAGGAAACTGTGATCTGTAATTAAAATAATTCACATAGATTTTTACACATAACAAACTTGTTAATTACTAACAGGCAAAAATAAACAATTCAGGATGTGCAATGGAAAATATATATTGTGGTGCAAATATGGATATAAGCAGGGACTGCCAAAAGTAAGTATTATTCTTCACCAATTTTGGCACCTGCCCCCAGATACGTTTCTCTCACAGTTTGAAACAGATCTCAGGTAGATATTTGAAATGTTTATTGAGATTCTGTAATGAACAGGGTAAGCTGTGATTTTTGAATTCCTTTCCAACTCTACATTTCAATAATTACATGATAATGCATAAGACAATGTATATATCCAATTCAGAGACTCTGAAGCTTAAAAATACATACAGTACATACTATTTTCCTCTTTTCCTTTTCAAAATTCTTACATGTTCAGTTTTCACCAGGGCTAGTAAATTATTTTTACTGTTGTAAGATATTACTTTTCATTTTTTTAACTTATAATGTTATGCATGATCTATTATCTAAAAAATGTGGCTATTAATAGCAGCATCTATTGTTTAGTTTGAGTGAGCAATGTACTTTTTCAGAATATGATTTATTGCAGTTGAATTTAGGATCTACATTACAGATCCTAGTCATTTTTCTTGTCTTCTGAAACAAGAAAAATATACTTAGGAAGCAGATAGCTGAACCCAAATATCTTGTTCAGTGCTTAATGAGATGTATAGTAAACACCCTAAGAATGGGTAATATCCTTTCTGTTGCATAAGTTGCACTGGGTGTTGCTTTTGGGTCCAACTCAAAGTACTGTTTATCACATTTTAAAGTCCTACATGGCATAGAACCAGGTTATCTGAGGAACTGTCTTGCCCCAATGGACTGGACCACAACATGTTCCCACATAAGGGCATGCTACAGACACGATTGGTTAAAGAGTTTCAGCCGACAGGGCCTAGGAGGATAGCTGTTAGGGTTCCAAGAAATACACCCATAGCAAACATAACTCCGATGCAAGCAATTTCCTCAAAGAACAAGTTTATTGTATATATCATATTGGTACTGGGTGGTGAAACCAATTCTAAAGGTTTGTGTTGTTTTCACCTAATTAAAAGTAAAAGTTATTCCTCCTTTTCTCAATCAATCACATTGTCCAATCAAGATGCTGTCCAGTTGCTTGGAAACTTCACTCTTCCTCTCTTTAGCCACCTCTGAGAATGTCCTTGATTCTGTTTTGAATTTTGAAACTATTTTGTTTTGGCTATAAAACTCAAACTATCTCCCTATTCCTCATCACCATGGTGGCAACACTGAAGCCTCAAAGATAGTCTCAATCAGGCCAGTTTCAGAGTTGACAATAACCTTTTCTGGCTCCTCTCTCTTAGGAATACCATCTCACCAAAGATGAGATCTGCCTTTACCGTTTTGACCTTCCAGAAGAAGATTAAAACCTGGCTCAGCTAATTGGCTTGGGACCCTGTTGGGAGCCCTATGTTGTAGGTGATTGGTGGACTAACAGGGAGGATGCCACTACTGTGCCATTCTTGCTTTGGCTTTTCCAGTTTTATATCTAATCTAGTTAATATTTCCAGATTTATTATTTTAATTGTGCTCTACACAGAGTTTATTTGTAGGATGAAATGGATGGCATATTCATCTTTCATAAATTCATCTTGTTGCATAGAATACAACCTTGATGACCCTTCTGTTTTTAATCCCCTTAAGTTATGGGTTAGGGGATCAAAAACAGAAACAACCAACTTCTCTTGTCTCAGATACACTGAAGCTGTACGCCCAGAAGAAAATGTTCATTATATTTCCACCTATACTTTATGGTTAAATTCTTTCAATATTTTCCAAAATAAGTGAATCATTTGCCTCCAGAAACAAAATGACTGCAACTACTATAAAAACTGAAAGCATTAATTCTATCACCCATTTTAGTTTACCTTTTCTACGTTTTTCCAAATATCCAGATACTGAAACAAATGGAAGATCTTGTGCCGCAATTGGAGGAAACTGATGACCTGGAAGGAGAAAGGACATAAAGAACAAATGATTTTTAAAGCACTATGAAATAATCTCCTACTGCATAAAAATATATACTAATGATTGTAGGTTTAGCTTATTTGAATATAGAAATTAATAATTTACATTCATTAGCACACATTAAACTGGGCTACAAAATAGTTAAAATTTATTGAAGCATTTTAAGTTATGTTTGAGTTCCTTTTCTTTGGTATAGTCAGAAGGATGAAAAGAACATTATGGATTGTTTATTTAGTAGAACATGGAACATTAATCAGTTAAGAAAATCATCTGCTTTTACCATTAAGAAAATTAATGCTGCAGCACAGACACTTCTGTTCAGGATTTCAGGCAGTCAGCCATACCTCTGTCTAGGATAATGTTATTTCATTCCCTCCATCACTCCCTCCAACAGTCACAAAGATCTCTCTAACCTCTAAGTTTTGCAGCCTTCATTGGGCAAACTTATTTTTTCTCCACATATTTTAACTATAATCAAGGTCCACAAATTTAAAATCAAACATGTTTGCCAGATCTTATTCAAGTATCATCCATAATTAATCAATCTCATTAATTCAGTTGAACATGTTTTTAAAAACCTTTTTTTTTACTGATAGGAAATAATTATTCCTTATTTCCAGCTTTTATGTGAAATACAATTATATATTAGTAGTGGCAAATGTATAGAGTTTTTAATCAATTTATACAATTGATGAGAATGAGCTATTTTGAATGCCCCATGAGAAGAGCATAGATATAAAGTAAAAGGTGTGTGTGTGTGTGTGTGTGTGTGTGTGTGTGTGTGTGTGTGTGTGTGTGTGTGTATTCATTCATTCATTCATACTGGATTTAAATATAGTTTAGGATTGCTATTTCAATTGCATTTATTACACTTATTAAATTTATAAATATGTTGATACATGTTTTTATTTTTGCTCAATATTCTGTAGGCCGCTTTGAGTCGCCATGTGCGAATAGGCAGCCATATAAATTCTATAAATAAATAAACAAACAAACAAACGTCAGCACTCTTATAAGCATAGCCAAGAATGGCTATGCAACAGAGCTCCCCAACCTTTCCAGTTTTGCGGACCAGCGGTGGGAGTTAGAGAGGATAGATCTGTGACCATCACTTGCAAAAATGGAGCACACATTAGCCACTACTCATGCAAGTGGGGATGAATGTGTGCACTCATCCATGACTTCCGCAGCACAGTTCTAAATGGCTCAAGACCTGAAAGTGGGATGGGGATTCTGCTTAAAAATAACTATTTGGATACATGCAGAAAGCTTTATGGATGTAAATTCATCATTTGTAGTAGACCACAAAATTAAGATCAAGATTCCTCAATTATGACAAGACATAGATTTACTCCAGTTTGAACTTAACTTAGATATTTCTGAGGCTTCCAACTCTCCCTTTAGGTTAGGAATGACTAAACACTTACCCACTTAAGAATCCTATGATATTAGTGAACATTTGACATTTGCTAGTTTACACTACTATAATACTTCAACAGCTGAACCTGGCTACATTCATTGTTTGCATGTTTCCTCCATTTTAACAAATACTACAAATAATTGAACAGTAATTAATTTCCTCTCTTTAGTTCCCATATGCTCATTTCTACATCATAGTAGTTAACAGAACCCATAGCACTGATTTCAAAGGATCAGATGGAGTGAACTGCAAAGCAGGCAATTATCCAACTGTCAGCTATTTACAATGATTACCAAGAGCTCTTGGCATTGAGGACCAGCTTGGCACTAGGCAATATGAATCATCATTTCTCAGCATGACACAATAGGCAATCATGTTACTCACAGCATTATCTGAAGGCCTTTGGGCTACTGGAGAAAAATTAACATGGAAAAGACTGAGAAACCTACAGAGTTCTCTGTCCATCCAGAAATATTATCTGAAAAGAGACTATGAGCTTCTTTGCACAATCTGTTTTAGGGAATTCTCTTGTTTCCAAATGTTATGGCAATATTACGTAGCACAAAATATGTCTTTTGCTTATTCAAACTGATGCTGTGAGAGTACATCATCTTTCATTTCTTGCCTTCACTTTTCCTAATTTTTAAGTTTACTGTTTTGTCCCTCCCTCCCAATTGTTATGAATTTATGTCAGGAGTCCTTGTTAAATTTCTGTATTCTGTTATTTATTGAATCAGTTATCCCACTATAGAAATTACTTGGGAAGCTACTGAAGAGCTGTACCATTAAATACAGACACAGAATACTAACTAACAACAGAATATTAGAAAGGGCCTTATCTGCTAAAATAACTAAGAAAAAAAGATATGGGGTACAAAAACCATGCATTATTTTTACATTACTTTTTAAAAAGTGTTTATCTGACACCAAGATGAATATGGGTGAGACTTGAATTAATAATAATTCGGTAGATACATTGACACTTGTGTAACTTAAAATATTTACACCAAACAAATTCCAGTAATTTCAAGGGGTGTACTCCAAGTTTAACTAATTTGGGATTTAAAACTAGAAAAAAATGGCATTTGGAAAACTTTATTGAACAATTGTCTATAATATTACACTCCATTTGTGATAGTCAGCTGTACCTATTACCATAATTCAAATTATAATTAATCACAAGTTCTTGTCTTGTCCACCTGAAAATCCAGATTCTGGCTTTTCCGTTTCTGAGCTTTCTTTTATGATTCACAATGCACACAAAATTATCTACCAGTCTCTGTAAATACAAATTATCTCCTTTCCTTAACTGTTGTTAAATTCAATTAGCAGCATTTATGATAAAGACTGATACATCCTGCCAGGATGCACCAGTCCAGAGTTGCATCCAGGATGCACCAGGATACAACTCTAACATTATCAGAGTTCAAGGCACAGATAATTTCTGATTAACATTTAGCATTTTCCAAGTGTTTATAAGTTTCATCATACCACAATATTGTCCATTCTTGCTTGGATTGATGAGATAATATCCAATATTATCCAAAATATCTAGAGGCTATCATGCTGGGAAAGACTGCCTTAAAAAATCATTGCCATATCTTAGAAAGAAAAATACATTAACTGAACATTTTGTAAGTACTATATAAAAAAAAATAGAATAAGCAAAATAATATAGGGTAATCCTTGAGTCATGATAGGTGATGAGGCCATAATTTCCTTCGCTATGCAATACATTCATAAAATGTAATGTCATGTGACCATATTACATAGAGACGCGCTCCCACAGCCCCAGTTGCTATCATAACTCCAGGACTCCCAGATAATTAAGATGTCAGAGGATTGTGATGTGATAAGAGATATGCTCCTAGGCAAGAGAACCATCAGGCAAGAGCTAGGGATGGTCAGGTAGGCAGATGTCATGGGAAAGTGCCATAAGATATGCAATTTTGGCAGGTGGATGAAAAAGCAGTGTAAATGGAAATGACCGTGTGAAATCTCCTGCTAGATTTCCCTTTACTTTGCTTGTGGGAAGCCAGAAGGGAAGATTGCAAATGGCAATCAAAACATGATAATGGGTTGCTGCAACCAACATCATTGTGAGCCAGTTGCCAAGCACATTACTGAGTATTGCAAAAGGCAGCTAATCAATCAAAATAATAACAGTTCTAAGATGAGTTCAAAAAGATGTTCATATTTCATTTTTAAAAGATAGCATGCTATTGGATTATGAGATGCATTTGGCAGTGAATTATTATACTATTAATAAAATATTGTTTAAAAGCTATTGCAAAGACTAAATTATCTAAGTAAAGACTATTTGAGAGTTGTAAAATGATTATTCCTTTGGGAAGCACATGCAACTCTTCAACAACAAAAATTGAACTACTCTTAAGACATTTCTGGCCTCAACAAGATGCTTGGCTGAGAAAGTTACTGAAAAAAAATGTATGAAAACATGTTTGTGCCCTGGAAAGAACTGATCTATTAATGCAACCTAGGATTGGTTTTTTGGTGGCCACTACACACTACTAGCTCATATTTAAGTGATTGTCCATTAGGACTCCAAGATCCCTCTCACTATTGAGCCAGTTTTCACCTAATCTCTACCTGTATATTTCATTTTTCTTCCTGAAGTGTAAAACCTTACTTTTCCCTACATTGAATTTTATTTTGTTAGATAGGGCCCAGGGTTCAAGTCTACCAAGATCTATCTGACTTTTGAGCATGTCTTCTGCAGTTTTGGCTATTCCTGTCAGTTTGGTATTGTTTGAAAATTTGATGAGTCCCCCTTATGAATCCAATACTTTCTCCCTTATACCAGATTCATGTAAAACAATTTTTCCCAAAACTCATCTCTGGTTCTTTCATTTTCATACTTCACTTCACAAAATGTTATGGGGAAAATTGGTAACAGAGCATTCTGTTCACTGCCTTGGGCTCATACATAAATAAGCATGCAAATTTTATCAACTATAAATTCCTACTTTCATGTTCCTCCATAATAACATGAATGAAAAATCCAGTTCATGCATTCTGGCATGCATTTAACTCCATCTTGCTTAATTAAATCTATATCTTAATTTGCCTGCATGTATAGTACTTCCAGCACCACTCCACAAGGTCAGATTTTCTTCATCAAATTTTCCCCCTTTTTCTTACTGCAAAGATTCACAACATATATATTTTTATTTCTAAATACATTGGTTAATTCTTCCCAGCTATTATTCATATCATTTGCGTTGTAAGTTATGGTTTTCCATATGCCATGATAGTTACCAAACTGGCCCTGGAATATTCTCTTCTGCTGCCCATCACTGCTTTGATCAATCAAGGTTTCCATATTTGTTTAGTAAGGCAGAAATAATGCTAAGTAAGTTACCAGTTTTAGTCACACCTGTACCACCTTCAGATTCTTCAGCTTATGATAAGGACAGTGCTAGATAGTTTTAGAACATTTTGACCAGTATGCTACGAGTATAACCAAAGGCCTCTATTACTCCAGGCATGCTCATACTATTATATATAAAACAGAAGCTAGTGATAACTTTCAAATCA